ACTAATTCATATTATTGATAGATTTTAAGTTCAGAGATTCAAAAAACTTTGATAGCAGCAGAATGTCTCGATACTCGAAAAATGTTATCGTGAACATATCAATGAAATTATTAGATATCAATAAATATTCTCCAGTATATTGTTTTTTGAATTCATGAATGATTCCTTCCTACGTTAGAAACTTCCAAACCCATCTCCTTTTCCGATTCTACTCACCCGTCACTCATAACTAACATGACTAGAAAAATGGCCGGAGAAGGTTTCGAATCCATCAAAAACAGGTCACTTCCTGATTTCATTCCCGGTCATCCGATTTCGATGATTTTGACATCAATGGATTCGTTCAGATGTCAAAAAACATAATCATTTTACGAAGCCAAAAAGTCCTCATAACCTATTTTCGCTATACTAGTCGCAATAGGTCGATGTGAGTACTCATTTCAAATGATTTCATTTGCTGATTATGAAAAATATAATATCGATCGTCTAATGTGGAATAACAAGGGGAGAATTGCAAATACAAAGAAAAAACATTGAAAAAACTTGAAATTCTATGTTGTTAGGTTACCAACAACTAAGTGAAATTCAATAGCAGCAGTTTGACTCATGATCAAACCAGAAGGGGCCTTGAAGTTTGGAGTTTCACTATCACACTGTCAACACTGAACTGGCTAGGTTGGCGTGAAGTTGTCTGTAGTTGATAGTGAGGTGAAGATCAAAAGTAAATATTGAACTATTTCTAGCCTGAAGTGAATGAGCGAAATGTCCGATAAAATACACGACTGCAATCGATCTGTCATTGATTATATGATACGTTCAAAAATACCAGTTCCTTATGTCATTGCATCTGTCAATTATTCGGTTCCTCAAGTCATTCACATCTAGTGCTGAAGTTTCAAAAACAAGAGCCTTCAGATGACCCTATAAATAAACAATCTAGAGGATTCATATCAGGACTGCGAGCTGGCAAATTTTGAAGTCCTACACGTCCAATTTAGTGATTAGGGTACGTAATATCAATATAATAAAGAAAATGACGTATTTTTCTATGAAGCGGCCATTTTTCTAGTCATGTTAGTTATGAGTGACGGGTGAGTAGAATCGGAAAAGGAGATGGGTTTGGAAGTTTCTAACGTAGGAAGGAATCATTCATGAATTCAAAAAACAATATACTGGAGAATATTTATTGATATCTAATAATTTCATTGATTTGTTCACGATAACATTTTTCGAGTATCGAGACATTCTGCTGCTATCAAAGTTTTTTGAATCTCTGAACTTAAAATCTATCAATAATATGAATTAGTTAGTTGAACATTCAGTAATGAAATACTAAATACATATCTACTAAGAATCATCAATATCTATAGCATTTGATATTTGCGAGATCGAATAGTGACCCCAAGGTAGCTTCTGCAATTGGAATACACTCATAACTGTTAATAACCCAACATCTTTTGATTCCAAGTTTGTTCAATGACTTTCTTTGAATTTGCAATTCTTCCTATGCTATTTCACATTAGGCGCTGGATATTATATTTGTTACGCCATTTTTGTTTTTTCTATGTCAATGAATTCTGCATTCGTTTCCCTTTCATTTGATTTGCTGCACGTTGAGATTCAACTATCATTACTGAAGATTTGGCTTAGTACTTTCCTGACATGTCCTGACATGTCTTTGTTTTCTTCTTGTCGAAGAAATCTGCATATATTATCCTTTCATTTGACGTGCTGTACGTGACGATCCGATAATTATTAGTGCCCTTCTGACAGTTGCGCTATTATTTTTTGTAATTACTCATTAATTTACACAAATTATCACACACGCCACCACCTCACACGCTGACTACGTCACTTTCAAAGTTTTAATGTTTTATCACTATTATTATTATTATTCGACCCTCATTCTCCAGTTCAATTTCATCTAGCACAATTAATCGAGCGATATTTGATTTCTCCATTCTGATTGGCTGACCGACACTACTCTGTAACAGAAGTTAGGTTGAGTGTTCCACGAGGTTCCGTTCAAGAGTCTGAAAATTCGCAAAATGAATCTTCATATGACAAAGCATGGACTTTAGTCATTTCCTGATGATGCTTACTTGGTTAGTGGAACGCGTTGAATGATAAATGACTGTCATATTGAAACACGAAAAACCGTTACGACAATAACGATGAAACGATAAAGAATAAACGCACGGAAAACGGTAAAAAACGCACGCAAACGATTGAAAACGGTCGAAAACGCACGCAAAACAGTCACACGCAAAACGCTGGCACGCAAAACGGTCGAAACGTTTGTAAAACGGTCGAATACTTCGCTTTCCCCATTTTCGAATGTTAACTCCAAAATACGTAACTCCTCGACACCTTTGGTGCCATCTCCTTCTTCTCCTGATGATGCTAACTTGGTTAATAAAGATACGAGACTTAGTGTCTTTCTGACATATTACATATTACATAAATCGTTATTTTTACACCTCAGGTGTAAAAATAACGATTTGGTGTTGGGGAAAAACTCCAGTAATATTCATTACTACACCAAAGGTTCCAAACAGTATATCACAAGTCTTTCTGACATGTTGGAACGCTAGACTTCTGTTGAACCGACATGTCTTTTTCCTAAATGATGTATTTTGAAACGCCCTGTATACACATCAATATCATATTTTGAACTGACATGTTTTTTTTTCCTTAAATGGAATATTTTGACGTACTCTGTACACTTCGACGCCATGTTTGTTTTAAATGATGTATTTTGAGATAACTTGTAACATTGAGGGATCGCACTTTGGAACGATACAGCCTCATTAATCTGTAATTGTTTTAAATATAATTCATTATTATTAATTTATCACTTTCGCGCTTCCAATTTTCATCGAGTCGTTCACGATTAATTTCAAAACCGGCAACGCTACATTGCCCCATAAACAACCAGCAACGCGAACCTGCCATGCTGGCATTGCAGCGTATAACCTCGATACCATCTACATCTCTCTTTGCCTCGATTACGTCACACGCGTCTCTCGCTCCTACGCACACATACACATCTTTATATGAAATATTAATTATTTCCCAAATCAAGGTATATTTTCCTATCTTCAACATGATAATGACGATTACAACTTTCCTAACATTCTACGGAAATCAAAAAATACGGTCAAGTATATGAAATGAGTCAATTTCGGTCCCGACAAAACTAACACTGTAAATATCCAACATTCGCAGTTACTTTTAATATCTTACGTTGTTGTAGAGGCTCAGGACAATGTCTACCACGCGGACGTCCTGGGTTCCAATCTCATAACTATAAACTTTTTTAATTAGAATCACGAGATAAGGGGGCCGAGGGGTGAGGCAGAGTCGCAAGAGGGCCTGAGCGGAGATGTGGAGTACTAAGGAGGCCGAGTTCCATGCTTGAATCACTACGATACTCGGTCCATCCTGCGTCGATGACGTCACACGTTTCTCTCTTCCACTCACTGAAGTTTCTCCCTGAAACACTTACCAGCAACGCACGACCTTGAAGTGGGCCACAACTTATGTTGTTCATCTACTTTGCTAAAATGCTTAATTACTGCGCCAGAAACGGACTCGTACCTCGCTTAGAGAAATAGACTGCAGTATATTGGTTAGCTAATACTAAATCTATTGTGCAGAAAAAATCAGTCAAATTCGTAGGGTTGAACATTGACTCCCAATTATTCTGGAACGAACATATCGACTTCATTTCTATAAAATTATCCAAGCATTGTTTCGTTATTTGGAATATCAAAAATTCTGTCCCCATAAATATTTTATTAAGCTGCTACTATGCCTATGTTCACTCAAGTCTAAATTATTGCTTAGTCTGCTACGGTAACAGCAGTAAATTGAATGATCTGTTGATTGCTCAAAGAAATATACTAAGAACCATGTGTTTTAAAAAATATGGTGATTCGTATAAGCAGTCATTTACTGAGTTACAAATTTTACCTATGATATCCATGTATATTTTAAATTGTGTCACTTACATTAAGAATCATTACTAAGAGTTTCAGCAAACGGATACTATCCGCATAGCTGCTTTATTATACTCTCAGGCAAAATTATAATCTGATAGTTCCTGTACACAAATTAACATCTGTATGAAACGGACCTCATGTTATGTCTATAAAAATATTTAATAAACTTCCAACATTCATTAAGAATATTTCAAATCCCATTAATTTAAAAAATAGCGTTAAAAATATTCCTACAAAAATGCCTTTTATTCACTTGATGAATATTTTCAAACTGATCTGGCTGCTTGACATCACTATTGTTTGCTTGTTTACTATTCTACTGTATATACTATGTTTTTTTAGTTGTTTTATATAATTATCTCCTACATCTACTATTGATTTAATTTTTTTTATGTATGTTCCATATTTTGTCACTTGATATTTTCCAACTCCAATCTTTACTGTGTATACGACGATTTCCATGCTTGTAAAAAAGTCTCAGGAAAAATAAAGTATTGTATTGTATAATTCGGGAATGAGCGATATTGATCTTGGTGTGCGGCAGGGCTCAGTTTTAGTCCCCGAGGACGAGGACGGACATCAACATAATACCAAAACTAAAAATGACCTTGATATACCTTTCAATAAATACTGTGTACCTTTCAACTCTCCTCTATCTATGACACCTAGAGTATTTAATAAATTGCCAGACTATATTAAAGAAAGTAAAAGTACAAATATATTCAAGAAACAAATACGTGAGTATTTACCGGGAAAATGTTTATATAGTGTTGAAGAGTTCATGTCATGAAACTGTATTGTCCTGTTTTTGAATTTTTCGAATATTTCATTACTTGTTTTTCATCTATTTTGACATATTTCAAATTGTATGTTCTGAATTTTAAACTTTTTCTTTTTATGTAGATTTAAGTTGTAGTCTAACTATTCATATACAATGTCCTGTTGTCTACTGGTAAATAAAGATCTAATCTTATCTCAATTGATTTTTCTTTTCAGCTGAACATTGAAGCAAGTTTAGCAATGCAAATGGGTTACTATAACAGTAAATTAGCACTCTGGGAGCCTTTGATTGAACCTGAATTAAGATCCTCCGAATGTATTCCATGGGAGCTGAAACTTGAGGTAAGTATTTTGATTATAAATTGAAAAATCGATATGCTGAAATAATTCTTTATAGTTATCTATGAATCAAAATCATGATGATAGTAGTACAATGAGTCCAATATCCGAAGATGAGCAAGAATTGCCCCAACCTCTAATGAGCATAGATCTTATTTCCGAAAAAAATGTTGAACTTACAATTTCTAAAACCTTACTAGAGAATTTGAAGCATCTGGGAAATGCATTTGCTTCTGCTATTGACTTCAAGAAAATGCGACATGTTTCCACAATTGAAGCCCCATATAAAATAATCAATGAAATAGGGGAAGATGTTACATTGCTACTAGGGGAAAGTTCTTTCGAATTGGTCGAAGGGGGTGACATAGCTGACATAAATAAATCCGCTGCGGTTCCTCTTCAGTTGAGACCAGAAATGAAAACTGAACAAAAATTGTATTTTGGCAAGAAATTAGAGTCCATTTCTTCAAAGAAGGAGCATTTTCTTAATATGAGGGTAAGTTATTAATACATATATTAATAGTTTCGTTGTCTTCAGGAAATCTCATAAATTCAAATTATGAATTGATGAAAATTCGTTGATTAAAATCAATAACACTATCCATTATAATAATTACACAATTTTCACAAACATTCTAATTTCTAGACGTATTTCGTGTGGTTGATAGTGAAACGATCCCAGGTAGAATTTTAAAACCAATTACACTCTTAGTTCTAGGACATCAGGTAAAATTTTAAATATGAATCAACTTCTTGGTATTATGAAAAAACGTTCAACAATGGTGAGTGGTCAACCTCTTGTTGGTCGGTCAGCAGGAAACGCGTCACTTTTACCTTTATTAATTTCCAGCGACTCCAGCAGGTTCAACTTCTGTCCCTCAGCTTCTACATGGAGTATGTCGTACATAGTATTGAAATCATGATCGTTTTCCAGAAAGTTCCACGCATGTTCTCCATGTTAGTTTGTAGACACGTGATGTTATCATTGTCTATCTGTGACTTGTTGTTCTTTATATATCTACCTAAGGAGTTAGTTACCAGTCTCATATTCTATGTTGATATTATGTTAATTTAGTAGTCTTTTCATTAATTAAACGGTTTTATTTAGTTTGCCCTGGTTGGGTCATAATTAATAATTGAAGTTTGACCCCGTTCCTGTTGATGATTCCAATACATGTTGATAAATTATGTAACATTGTAAATCCAAGATGGCTGCAGCATCAAAATGGCGGATTACATATTTTTTACAACTACCTAAAAATATAGGTATCAAATGACAGGGCTTGACTAGTAGAATAGTATTACAATTTGAAAAAGATGCAAATTCAAGATGGTCCTAGCTACTAACGTTAAAACGTGCCGAGAATTATGTGGCATCAGGGTGGATAAAAATTATAAACTCAAAACTTGAAAATAAAATAAGGAAAAAAATTAATGTTAAACCGTTTTATTGAAAAAAAAACATAATGATGTAGATAACTAAAAAATATTTCAGACGGTCCTATATAGCAGTCATCACACTACTCTTCTCAGCAATCTACGGTATTGATCTGATGAAAAAATAATGAAATCGTTGGGCGTAGCGTAACCTGAGTAAATATGTAAATACTAGGTACGCCCAACAATTCTATTATTTTTTCATCTCATCAATACCGTAGATTGCTGAGGAGAGTATTGTGATGACTGCTACGTAGGAACTTCCGAATTATTTTTTAGTTTTCAGTACATTATCTACATCATTGTTATCTTTTTTTTTTAATAAAACCGATAAAAATTAAAATTTCATTTTATCTGATGTTTTTCCGCTATAAGTGAGTGTCTTGAAGGTGCCGGATTTATATTTCATGTGAGAGAGTACTTGATTGATAGCTTGCTTGAAACGTTTTTCAATAAGGATGTGATGAATTACATATAGGGTGACCTAGTTTTTCAAAATTTCTGGAGGTTCTACTGAACTGATTTTAAAAATATATCGTACATTGAAGAGTGTAAACTTTCACGGTGGAAGATAGCTGTGTTGAAGCTATTTTCCGTGTTTTTCCGCCGTGGTCTGCAGGTTTTATGCCCAACGTTTCGTCTACTACTGCGGTAAACACTATCAAACGCCATGAGGTAACGGTCGAAGTGCTCGAGTTGTTCTCAATGCTGAAACTACAATGTTGAGATTTGTCGCCGCTTTTATATCATCATTGGTGGGCATGGCTTCGTTTCTGTTAATTAAATTGAATTATCTTGTTTGTGTACAATTAGGGATGGGTAGCTATGTTCTAATATTTTTTACGTCTTCCTTTTTATTGAAACTATAACATTGAATTATTTCTATTGCTCCTCTATATATTCTTGGATACTAATTTTGAGCTACATCGAATGAGATAATGTGAGTGCCTTTGCGATATCATGTTCGGCTACAGCTGATTTGTTGGTTTGCTTGAGACGACAATTTCTCTTGTGCTCTGAAATATGGGTACCTGTACTTTTTTTCGTGGTTCCAGTGTAGACCGACCCGCAGCCACAAGATATCCGGTATACCCTGGGTGTTGCTAAAGACTCTCTGGGGTCTTTAACTGACCTTAGACTCTCCCTGATAGTTTTCGTTGGCCTAAATATTGGTTTCACGTCGTGTTTCTTCAAAATGCTCCTAATCTGGGCTGTTACATTTTACGTAGGGGAGGAACGCTTTTTACTCAATGGGCCTTGCTCGGGTTACTTTGGCATTCTCTATCCTGGGATATAAAGAAAATACATCTCACGAAACTCCAATGAAACATATTCGTCCCGTTTATCATTTGCATCTTCATTGTTTTCAATCACAGGCGTCGGATTCCTTCTTGGAGGTTCAAGATTAGGATCTTCAGTGTGTGGATCATTAAATTGATAAATTATTCATGTATCTTTTTTTGATCAGAATTTTCGAATGCTACATAAGTAATACTTCAACATGTTGGTGCTGATACCGGACGATAGTACCCTGTTATTTTGAACCGACGTGTGAGTCAACTCAGTTTCATTTCCTCCAGCCAGATTATAATAATCGTGTGACCATATTGATTAGGAATCGTGATCACTTGGCGAGAATCAGTTAATGACTTCATTGCTAAACCAATAGTTGAATTTTTCGTTGAGTTTCAAATATAGCGTTGCGTTAAGCTCGGTGTTGGTTATAAAATAAATAATGGAGAATGGATTGTATGGGGTGCTGCCAGTTGAAAAAAAAAACCTGAGAGATAGAGGCGCACGTTGGGTGAGAAATTATAATAGAAAAAAACATATATAGAGTGTTTTCAAAAATATCGACACAGAAAAAAAATATGGTCTAGCGTTTCAACGTGCGACTCCAATGGGCATTTTAACGTGCGATCTCAATGCGGAACCTATACAGGGTGCAGTTCAAAATAGCATGTTGACGTGCGATCCCAATGCGAAACCTATACAGAGTGCAGTTTAAAATACGTCTTTAAATATTATTATTATTATTATTTTCACCGTAGTGTGCACTGGTCAGGCCCTATCCCCCGAAGCCCCGGTACATTCAGAAGGGCACGCCAGCCAGCATTATCAACCAATCCCACACCGTGGGGTAAGTGATTTTTGGGTCCGAGAATCCCTGAGCAAGCGCAGTGAGCCAAGTATGACAGCCTTCTGCATCTGTGCGGCTAAGATTTCTGCCTTAGTGCGGCAAGCCGGTATGATTTTAAGAGAGGACATCATTCCACCAAGGACTCCAATAATCAGAGCAACCATATTGATAGAGTGATCTGGATAGAGTCTGCGGAGTTCGAAGAGAAAATCTCGATATTTTATCCGTTTTTCCTCCTCTTTTTCGACGATATTCGTCTCGCCAGGAGCTGAAAACTCCACGACAAATATCGTTTTGCTCTGGTGGTCGAGAAGGACTACATCAGACTTATTAGCTTGCATGAGCCTGAGGGTGGGAAACGAATAGTTCCAATAAATTCGGCACTTCTTGTTCCCCACAACGGATTCAATATTCCCCGGAGCGTAGAGCAACACCGGTGTCTCGTCAATACAATAAGAGTGCCGTAGATGGTAATATAGCACTCTTAGGGCCGCGTTATGTCGATGGATATAGGCCTAGACCGCATATGCTGGACATGCTGATAGCAAGTGCATTAGGGTTTCGGACACCTCGCGGCACGCCCGGCACCTTGTGTCAGAAACCTCTATACCCATCACGCGACTGCGGTAGACTAAGATGTTGAAGACACCATCCTGGCAAGCCATGATGAACCCCTCAGTTTCCGACTTCAGTCCACTCGACCTGAGAAAAGCGAACGTCAGGCAGGTACTCTAAACCTCATAATTTTTACTGGAAAACACGAACATGAAAAGCATAGGTGTGTAGCATACATTTTAATCATTTTGATAGCAGATTTTTAAGCTATTAAAATATGAACGTTACTGAGAGTGAAGCTGAAAGGCTTCCTTGCATACAGATGCATACAGAACGGAATATTTTTCTCGAAATTTGGAACAGTCCACCATGAATCTTCAAATTATTCTAAATTCAGAACTGCTTTGCATATATTGAATTGGTGCAGTATGTCATCCAGAAAGGCTTTTTTCATATATAAATGATATTGACATCATATAGATTTGTCTGGAGGATGCTGTCTAGTAGATGGTATTCCACGAAGCCCGAAGAATATTTTGAACCAATAATGTTTTTTCTCCTCACAGGCAACGCCTTTTATATCGTCCCTGCTCAAGTGGGTGAATGATTTCGGCGGCAAAAACAGGAAATCATTACATTGATTACCGATCTTGATGGCAATCTCTTTGGGGTGGAATTGCTGCTCAACAACAAATCCTTAAATATCAAAAGATGTGCAACTGTCAACTGACAGAAAACTTCGAACACGTTTCACTGTTTAACAGAGTGGGAGTTGCTCTATGACAGTGTCGTGCACAGTGATGCAATAGGCTCTAGGATTATGGAGAAATCCTCCAGATGCTTCGATTTCAAGCTTCACATTAACACTAGAACTTTTGATGCTTTCGTCCCTTGTTACGTGTTAATTTGCCTTTTCATGATTAAAAGTCAAATTACCTAGGAAAGGAAAAATATACAACTTCGATGTTTATTTATTTATTGTTATGACATTTTTGAAATAGTGCTTCCATAAGATCCGTTAAATTTTAGGTTTCTGTACCCTGAAAATAATACGCTCTGTATATTCAATTTCACCTAGATATAATTCAATCACTCACCATCACTGAGTTCTTGTTTGTAATTGTAGTTATATTGGCAGTTATATTGGCAATCTGTGTCACTTCTGTTGAGTTTATATCTTTGAAAGGTTTGATTAAAAGGGTTCACCTGTGACGTCATTGGAGATGATTTTACCCCGAACAGACCGTCTGTGACATCAATTACCATGACGACCAGACAACCGCAATAATCAACCCATTACATGGGATTGCTAAATAAAACTGACTAGATGACAAGTTAACATACCTTTGAAAGGAGGATATCCTTTCCCTATCCCTCATTATGCCAGTGGAGGTGTAGCAATTTTTGTAAAAAACACGTTGGAGATATTTTACTGATTTAAAAGTTGTGGCGATCACAATTCTGAGTC